TGGCTCAAGTGGTAGAGCACTAGCCTTGAGCTGAAGAGCTGAGGGACAGCGCCCAGGCCCAGAGTTTAGGCCCCATGACCAGACCCCCAAAAAAAATTATTTTAGAAATTCCTCTAATATGCTTACTTTCAGCTAACATGAATGCTCTGGACAAACATCCAGACAGCTTTTGATGCTGTTGTAAGCATATAATCAGGAAGTAAATGCCTTCCATTAAGACAAATCTTGAATAGTCCCTTTCTGAAGCTGATGGGGAGAGACTGAACTAATATAGCTGAGTAAAATGGTATATTACTTTAGATGGTATTTTTAGGGAAAGGAGATATTAGGACCTTGAGATGGCTGACCACTTGAGCCATGCCTCCAGTCCATTTTGTATTACTTTTTGAACAGGGTCTAAAGTTAGTCTGCACTAAGTGCTTCCTATTTATGCTTTCTAAATAGGTAGGATGAAAAGCATACTCCACCACACTCAGCTTTTATTGGTTGAGATGAAATCTAACTAACTTTTTGCCACAATCTTTTCATCTCTACCTACTGAGTAGGATTATAAGCATAAGCCACAATATTTAACCAAGTTATGTATTTCAGGATAATTGTTTATATCTCATATTTGAGTAAGATATAACAAATGAGAAAATACCCCTGTGCAAGATTTATTAATTTGTAATACCCAAAGATTGAAACAACTTAAATACTAACCAATAGAGGGCTGAAAATTCTGGTCTACTGTCACAATAGAATAGTTTATAGTCATAAAAAAAAAATGAAAAAGCTCAAGCTGGGCAACCGTGACTTATCCCTATAATCCTAGCAACTGAGAAGGCTGAGATCCGAGGATCACGATTCAAACCAGCCCAGGCAGAAAAGCCTCTATGAGACATTTATCTTCAATTAACCACTCAAAAACTAGAAGTGAGCCGGGCACTGGTGGCTCACTGGTGGCTCACGCCTGTAATCCTGGCTACTCAGAAGGCTGAGATCTGAGGATCATGCTTCAAAGCCAACTTGGGCAGGAAAGTCTGTGAGACTCTTATCTCCAATAAACCATTAGAAAACCCTCTGGCACTTTGGCTCAAGTGATAGAGTGCTTGCCTTGAGCTGAAGAGCGCAAGGACAGCACTCAAGCCCAGAGTTCAAGCCCCAAGACCGACAAAAAACAAAACAAAACAAAAAAAAAGGGAAGTGGAGCTGTGACTCAAAGTGTTAGAACACTAGCCTTGAGCAAAAGAACTCAGGGCCTGAGCAAATTTCATAGTAGCATTATGGCAAAACTGCTCCAAAGTGGAAACAACCCAAATGTCTATTCAACTGATGAATGGATAAATACGGAGTATTGTTAAAATATAAAAAGAATAAAGTACTGATATAAACCATGGCATAGACAAAATTTAAAATACTATGGGGCAAACCAAAGAAATCACAACAATCATGTTACATGATTCAATTTATATGAGAGATCCAGAATGGACAAATTGATTAGAAATAGAGAAATTAGTGGCTGCATAGGGGAAGGAAATGTAATTAAATATGGAGCTTTTTTTAGAGATAAAAATATTCTCCTAACATTGAACTGTAAATATCAAATGAGTGAACTATAGGATATATATCTTGATAAAGAAAAATGGAGATATTTGGTTTTTGGTTTTTTTTTTGGGTCCGGTCGTGGAGCCTGAACTCTGGGCCTGGGCGCTGTCCTTCAGCTCTTCAGCTCAAGGCTAGCGCTCTACCACTTAAGTCACAGCGCCACTTCCAGCTTTTTTCTTTTTGCTTATGTGGTGCTGAGGAATGGAACCCAGGGCCTCATGCATGCAAGGCAAACGCTCTACCCCTGAGCCACCTTCCCAGCCCAAAAATGGAGAATGAATGAATATGGTCTAAGAGATGCTCTGAGTTCTATTCTCAGCTGTGCTACTGCCCTGCTGCCTTACTTACATCAAGGTAGTCGCAAAATCACTGGCCTGTTTCCTCACTTATAAATGAAAAGGATTAGACTTAGATTAGATTCAGGTACTTGAAAAGTCTGATGAGTAATGAGGGGCTCAAATCCAAAGTCAAAGTAAGGAGCAGAAAAACCAGTTTGTTTCTTACTTCCATCTGTAATTTTACTGGAGGCAAGTCGAACAACTTCAGTTATCAAAGCTGTCTTTCCAAGTTTACTTTTGGAAAAGCCCACAGGAAAGTGATACTCCACAAAGAAAGTGCTGAAAAAAAGAAAAAATGACAAAGAAACAATGTTATCAAAATGGATACCACAGAAAATAGAAACATGTTTGGTTGGGGTGGGGGGAGAGGGAAGATAGGATGAAAAAGGAGGATCACAGGAATGGAAGGAGGAGGAAGGATAAGAAAATATAGTCATTATGTTCAATGCATATTATGTAAAAATTGAACTATATAACTATGTAGGATGGGAAGGGAAAAATAGGAGATAAGATGGAAGGAGTGACATTGACCAAGAGGCATTACACTTCTAACCTGACTTCTGAAATTGTAACCTCTTTGTACAACTACTTAATAATAAAAGAAACAATGTGATTAAAAAGCAAATTAGTAGGGCTGGGAAGGTGGCTCAATGGTAGAGTGCTTGCCTTGCATACATGAGGACCTGGGTTTGATTCCTCAGCTCAAGTGGTAGAGCGCTAGCCTTGAGCTGAAGAGCTGAGGGACAGCACCCAGGCCCAAAGTTCAGGCCCCATGACCTGACAAAAAAATAAAAATATATAAAACATCCATTTTTGACTCTAAAATCTATGGTATAGATAGCCATTTAAATGTTTGCCTTGTTATATACCATCAGTTTGCATTTTTTTTTTTTTTTTTTGGGTGGGCTGGAACTCTGGGCGTGGGCGCTGAGCTCTTCAGCTCAAGGGGAGCACTCTACCACTTGAGCCATAGCACCACTTCTGGTTTTCAGGTGGTTTATTCGAGGAAAGCATCTCAAGGACATTCTTTCCCGGGCTGGCCTTGAACCATGATCGTCAGATCTCAGCCTCCTGAGTAGCTAGGATTACAGGCGGGAGCCACTGGTGTCCAGACCAGAGTTTGCATTTTAATATTCTTTTTTCCCTTACTTACCTGGCATAGTTCTTGGAATCTAGAGGAGACTGAATTTACTTATATTGATTGAGTGATGCACACCAACACACATGACAAATTATACCATTTCACAATTACACAATTATTCAATTACACAACTGAAATTATTATTAGCCGCACTTTCCCAAAACTTCAAATTTACCTTTTTCCTGTTAGAAACATACCACTTTTTTGCTGTTATCAGCTTAGCTGATCTCCCAGCAAAGGGTTTTTTGCCAGGGGTCATCTGAGGACTATCTGGAGGGACTCCCATTGTTTCAATGATGATTCTGACTGAATGTGTTCTACCTAGAAGGGCCAGTCTAGCCACACTTAATGTCATCACTGGGGCATCTTCTGGAATTTCTGAGGTCATCTGTTCAACCAAATTTCTGCAAGGAGTTCACACAGACAAGCAAGGAATTAGAGGCCCAACATGAAATATTTTATAGTTTGAAAGAAAAGAGGAGAAAGGCAGTAGGGCAGCAAGTGAAAATGGCTCTAATTATCAGAATTTTGGTCCTAATCTACAATGAAAGAAATCTAAAAAAAATGTAAACAAATTATTTTAATCTAAAGATTTATATCCATCCAAGTATAGAAACTGGTGTTATAGAAGTAATTTTCCTAGAAAAGACATAGTTTATTTCAGCTACCAACTACTCTTTGATAACTATTGTGTCATTTGCTTTCCTTAGTGGCATTTTCTACATAGGTATGATTACATTCACATATAAGTATGTACTGTGCTGTCTCACTGAAATTATTGTTTTTGAGTGATAACAGATAGTGAATCCAGGAGCTCATGTTATGCGAGGCAACCACTCTACCACTTCAACTAAACCCCCCAGTGCTTTTGTTTTGTTTTTGAGATTGATTTTCTTAACTTTCTCCAAGCTAGCCTTGAAATTTTGATCCTGCCTCTGTCTCCAGAGTAGGAAGTGTGATTATAGACACGTGCTACAATACTTGGCCTTCCTTAACCATTTTAAGTCACCATCTTTTTGTTGTTGTTGTTGTTGGTCATGGGGCTGGAACTCTGGGCCTGGGTGCTGTCCCTGAGCTCTTCAGCTCAAAGCAAGTGCTCTACCACTTAAGCCACAGTGCTACTTCCAGTTTTCTGGTGGTTAACTGGAGATAAAAATCTCATGGACTGGGCTGGGAAGGTGGCTCAGTGGTAGAGCGCTTGCCTTGCATGCATGAGGCCCTGTAAGCAAAAAGAAAAAAACAGGCGGAAGTGGCGCTGTGGCTTAAGTGGTAGAGTGGTAGCCTTGAGCTGAAGAGCTGAGGGACAGCACCCAGGCCCAGAGTTCAGGCCCCACGACTGGAACCAAAAATATAAAATAAAAAAATAAAAATCTCAACCGGGCGCTGGTGGCTCACGCCTGTAATCCTAGCTACTCAGGAGGCTGAGATCTGAGGATCGCGGTTCAAAGCCAGCCCGGGCAGGAGAGACCGTGAGACTCCTATCTCCAATAAAACCACCAGAAAACCAGAAGTGGCGCTGTAGCTCAAGTGGTAGAGCGCTTGCCTTGAGCTGAAGAGCTGAGGGACAGCGCCCAGTTCAAGTCCCACGACCGACAAAAATAAATAAATAAATAAATAAATAAATAAAAATAAAAATCTCATGGACTTTCCTGCCCAAGTTGGCTTTGAACCATGATCCTCGGATCTCAGTCTCCTGAGTAGCTAGGATTACAAGTGTGATCCACCAGCACCCAGCTTTAAGTCACCATCTTTTCATGTTCTTACACTTTTTAAGGATTGCAATGATTTACTAAGTTACTGTAATCTAATTACTCTGATAGTGTTGAGCAAACATAGGTCATTTGACTTTGAGGAGATCTTGTGAAAATCATGTTCCTTAGCTTTGATACAGAGGCTTACCTGTTTTCTTCCACTGATGCTCTCTTCAGCTTCTGATCATTTGGTTCTAGAGCCTTAGAAGATCTACCAAGAGCTTTTGACTGGTTTAATTTTTTTGATGGGACCCTACCATCATCTTCACAAAGAACATCACTGATGCTGCCATCAGACTTCTATGGGGAAAGGAAACAAAAAGGGGATACTAAATGATGATTGCTAGCAGGATAGCAGTTATGAGGTATTTCTCTTTAGAAGATAAATTCTCTTTAGAAGATAAATGACTAACAAAAAGGACACAATTTCATATTCCTTCTGCTTATACAAAGGACAATCTAAAGTTCACAAAGAAAATGTAAAAATTCCATTCAAAGGAAATAAATGAAAGTAGATTGTTTAAAATCTTAAGCTGGGCACTAATGGCTCATGCCTGTAACCCTAGCTACTTAGGAGGCTAAGATCTGAGATTCAAAGCCAGGTAGACAAATCCAAGAGACTCTTATCTCCAATTATACAGCAAAAATCTGGAACCGGAACTATGGTTAACTAGAACAGTGCCTTGTGCAAAAGGAAAAAGAAAAAAAAGCTAAGCAAGAGCAAAAAGCCCTGAGTTCAAGTCCTAGTACTGGGGGAAAAAATCTCAATAATGATATACCACTACTGACTGCCTATAATGCATTTGGTATTTCTCTAAATGCTGTATACACATTTTTTTCTTTTTTTTTCTTTTTGTCAGTTGTGGGGCTTGAACTCCACCTGGGTGCTGTCCCTCAGCGCTTCAGATTAAGGCTAGTGTTCTACCACTTGAGACACAGCTCTACTACTTGCATCACAGCATCACTTCTGCTTTTCTGATGGCTTTTATTGGAGATAAGTCATAAGCGGACACCAGTGGCTCATACCTATAATCCTGGCTACTAAGGAGGCTGAGATCTGAGGATCACTGTTTAAAACCAGCCCAAGCAGGAAAGTTCATGACACTCTTATCTCCGATAAACCACCAGAAAACCACTGTAGCTCGAGTGGTAGAGCGCTAGCCTTGAGCTAAAGAGTGGAGGGACAGTACCCAGGCTCTGAGTTCAAGCCCCACAACCAAAAAACAAAAAAAGTCTCATGGACTTTCCTGCCTGTGCTGGCTTTGAACCTCAATCCTCAGATCTCAGCCTCCTGAGTAGCTAGGATTCTAGGCGTGAGCCACTGGCGCCTGACTGCATATACACTTCTAATACATTGCTACATGGTGCCCTTACCTCATGAGAAAAGTCAGGCAGCCATGAACAGTTTTGATGTCTATGGTTTTCAAAACCTGTATCTCTATAATAGTTTGAGGCCAAATGATTAGAATGGTATCACCAAACCAATAGTTTGCATGCAAAGTTTTTTTTTCACTACTCAGACCATATTTTGCTTTTGATCTTGCTAAGATGTACTATTTAATATATTTCACAAATTTCTCTCAGGGAGGAACCAGTGGCTAAGTCCCCTTAAATTAATTTCTTTATTTCTTTCTCTTTCTTTCTTTCCTTCTTTCTTCTTTCCTTGCTTGCTTCCTTTTTTTTTTTGTGAGAAAAGACTACAATTGACCATTTAGTCCCTTATAGTATAATATATAAACAAAGAAGATAGCATTATAATGATTTGGATTCAATTTTTTTTTTTTTTTTGCCAGTTGTTGAGCTTGAACTCTGGGCCTGGGTGCTATCCCTGAGCACTTTAGGTCTACCACTTGAGCTACTGCACCACTTCCGGCCTTTTCTGTTTGTGTGGTACTGAGGAATTGAACCCAGGGCTTCATGCATGCTAGAAAGGCACTCTACCACTAAGCCACATTTCCAGCCCTCAAAGGCTTGCTAATATAAATTCAGATGATCAATTCCAAGTTATTCTAGCCTATCATCTCCAATTTCCACCCTTTAGCATACCAAGATATCATATAATGTGTTAATCTGATAATAGGAACAAATCCTGTTATCCTAAGACTGTCCTTCTAGCTGGGTGTGGTGGCTCATACCTTTGACAGACATTGGGAAGATTGCCATTTAAGGTTAACCTAGGCAAAAATCCATAAAACTCTATATCAACCAATAGTTGGGCATGGTGGTATGTATATTCATCTCTACTATGCAAAAAAAAAAAAAAAAATCCAGGATCATGGCCCAGGTGTACTTACTCATCAGTGTGCCATGGTTTAAGTGGTAAAGTGCCTGGCTAGCAAGTACCAAAGCCTGAGTTTAACCTTTAGTAACTTCACTCCCCTCTCCAAATAAGAAAAGTTCTTCTGGAAGCAACATAATCTTTTCAAGATGAACTTAAAAAGAATTTTTGCTTGTAGGCTTTTTTTAATGGCAAATTTACAAAATGAAACTGAAAAAAATGGTATTGACAAAGCAATCAAAATCAAGGTAGGTTCATAGGCTAAAAGAAATTAGGGTGAAAATAAACTAGGTTGTTCAAAAGCTAAGAATTTTAGGAACCAAAAGAACAAGGAAGCCGGATGCCGGTGACTCACACCTGTAATCCTAGCTATGCAGGAGGCTAAGATCTGAGGATTGCAGTTCAAAGCAAGCCTGGGAAGGAAAGTCCGTGGAACTTTTATCTCCAATAAACCACCAGAAAGCTGGAAATGGTGCTGTAGCTCAAGTGGTAGAATGCTAGCCTTGAGCTGAAGAACTGAAGGACAGCACTCAGACCAAGTTCAAGCCCCATGACTGACAGAAAAAAAAAAAGTACAAGGTAATGCTGAATTTCTAAGCTGTGTATGTTAGTCAATTTTAAGAATGTCAATCAACCCTTACTAGTGGAAAGAAGAGATCAGATACTGACCCTGGGTTAGAACATGAGCACTTAAAACCTACTGCCTCACTTAAAATCCACACGAGCACTTAAAATCCACTAATTAGTTAACTTTTTTTCAGTCAAAAAATGTTTTTCAGGGCTGGGAAGGTGGCTCAGTGGTAGAGCACTTGCCTTGCATGCATGAGGCCCTGGGTTCGATTCCTCAGCACCACATAAGTAAAAAGAAAAAAGCCGGAAGTGGCACTGTGGCTCAAGTGGTAGAGCGCTAGCCTTGAGCTGAAGAGCTGAGGGACAGTGCCCAGGCCCAGAGTTCAGGCCCCACCACCAGACCCCCCCAAGGCCCCACCACCAGACCCCCCCAAAAAAAATGTTTTTAAAATTTATTTAGTTTAAGTAGTATAGGGGATTATTTATTGTTCAAGTGTGTCCCCCAAAGGTCATATGTTGAAAGCTTGGTCTGCAGTGTGGTGATGTTGGAATATGGGACTTTTCAGAGTTGAGTCCGCATAGGAGGTTCTTTTTTTTTTTTTTGGGTCCAGTCATGGGAAGGTGTTCCCAGCCCCCTGCATAGGAGATTCTTAATTCACTAAGAGGTGAGCCCTCAGATGGAAGTCTGGGACCTTAGTCTCAGGCTTCCTATTTGGTGATGTGATCTTTTCCTCACACATGCTCCCTCAGTTGCCAAGTGCTATTAGATGAAGCAGACAAGGAGACCTCACCTGAGCCTGCACAATGCTGTTTAAACTTTCAGCCTCTAGAATTACAAGCTAAATCATTTTTTGTGTGTGGTGGTACTTGGGTTTGAACTCCCATTTGTGAGGCAGTTGCTCTACCATTTGAACTACACTCTCAGCTGATTTTTTTCTTTTTTTAAAGTTATTTTTTGAATAGAATCTTGTATTTATGCCTGGATCACCTTAGGCCATGATGATGCTCCTATTTATCCCTCCCAAGTACCTGGGATGAGTACACACTACCATACTTGGTTGAAATGGGTTCTTGGTAACTTCTTTGAGATGCTTCAAATTATGAGCTACTGATTTTGCCTTCCTTTGTAAGTTAGGATTACAAGCCCAAACCAAGGTGCTTGGCAATAAACTTATTTATTTTCTTCCTTTCTCTCCCATTTTTGTTTCTTCTTCATTGGAGTAAGGGAATTGAACTGAGAGCCTTATATTTGCTGGGCCCTTTAGCTCTTGAGCCATGTCTTGGCCTAAACTTCTTTTCTTTCTATAGTCAGCCCTGACTTAGGTATTTTATGTAGAAAAATACAAGGAGTATGATGACAATGTTCATTCATGTAATGGTTACTTTGGAAAAGCGATCACACTCTGCAGAGACTCTAGAATATGAACCGATGAACTGAACATATAGCTTAATGTAAGAAAGAACTCACAAAAAAGTAAAACTGCTTCAACAGAGAATGCCTTAAAGGCCAATAGGAGTATTTTCTACTCCTTTTGTGAATAGAGGTATTTTTGGAATTATTTTGAATATAGCCACTCAAGGATGGTTCTGAAGTAACCCTACATTAACTATTTCTTAGAAAAACTCTAAGAAAGCAATAAAATATATATTAAGTAAGGTAACAAGCTTTGAATTTGAATTAATTCAATTTGAATAAATTTGAATTTGAATTCTGCCTTTAATAATTGATATGCATCTTTTGAACATGTTTTCTTCTTCAGGTAATTATTATGATAAAAGTTTCTTTTTTTTAAATGGTGCTGAGGATTGAAACCATGGCCTCATGCATGCAAAGCATTTAGCTTTGTTCCAAACATTTAGTTTAGTCCCTTAGATTTGTCATTAAGATTTAGCCTTGTCCCTAAATAACATGGACAGTTCTAAATAAAATGGATAGTTCTCTGGGTATCATGCCTATAAGCAACCCAATACCTCTCCAATTTCTAAAACTTCAGATTTAAAGACTTACAGGTGCTGTGTAAAATAATTTCTCCAGGAGACTCTGGTCATACTGTGGGTCATTCAGCTCACTGCTGCAATAAACATCACTCCCAGGAGATGGGGAGTCTGGAGGAGAGCCTAATCCATTCCAGAAATGACCTTGGGATAATTCAGCACTGCAGAGAAAACCAAAGCAAAGCACTTTAACAGAAGTTTCAGTTGAACTATTCTTTCTTTAAACTTGCAGAAATAAATATGGAAAAAGATCTAGAAAGCTGGATTCCCACTAAATAGAGGGTAGTAGATAAATACCCAGTTATATTCTCCCTCCTCTGAGATGACAACTCACACTCAAAACCCACCTCTAGTTATTGATTATGATATCACTCACTCAACAAACATTTTATCGGCTACCTAATCTGCTAGGTTCTGGGTGATACACAGATTGCTAAGATAACAAAATCCATATTCTTACAGTGTCTGTGCTTTAGTAGGGAGAGAAAAGGTAACCACAATTCATTAAATTTTACATGTTATGTTTGTGAAATAATGGCTAATTCAGAAATATACCTTCTTCCATTAAGCAAACGTATGCATATTTTGGATTAATTATGGCATCATTAGCTTTACATGTAATACAAAAATAAATAACAACTAATAACCTTTAATTTCTTATCTTCTATCTCTACTAGGAAGGACAAAGTACTCCCTTGTATGTTCCCATGTCTCTTATCCATTTGCTCTTCATAGTGGTGACAAACTCTATCTTCTTTAATAGTTTGATGCCTATCCATTTTTTCTTTTTTTTTTTGGTCAGTGGTGGGGCTTGAACACTGGGCTTGGGCACTGTCTTTGCACTCTTCAGCTCAAGGTGAGCACTCTACAGCTTGAGCCACAGCGCCACTTCCAGTTTTCTAGTGATTTATTGGAGATAAGAGTCTCAAGGCCTTTCCTGCCTAAGTTGGCTTTGAACCATGATCCTCAGATCTCAGCCTCCTGAGAAGCTAGGATTATAGGTGTGAACCATGGGCGTGCAGCGCCTCTCCAATCTTTTTTTTTTTTTGGGTCCGGTTGTGGGGCCTGAACTCTGGGCCTGGGCGCTGTCCCTCAGCTCTTCAGCTCAAGGCTAGTGCTCTACCACTTGAGCCACAGCGCCACTTCCGGCTTTTTTCTTTCTGCTTATGCGGTGCTGAGGAATCGAACCCAGGGCCTCATGCATGTAAAGCAAGCTCTCTACCACTGAGCCACCTTCCCAGCCCCGACTCTCCAATTTTTACTGTGAAATCCAAGCTCTTTAACATAAATACTCAAAATCTTTCAAAGTCTAGCTTTCACTTCCCCTTTTCTATGCTACCTCTTCTCACTCTACCTGTCCTATCACTAGCATACCAAATGATTATGTAACCCTGAAATTTCCCTAGAAGAAGTCCAAACTTGGCTGGGAAGGTGGCTCAGTAGTAGAGTTGCATGCTCGAGGCTGAGTTCGATTCCTCAGAACCACATAAGCAGAAAAAGCTGGAAGTGGAGCTATAGCTCAAGCGGTAGCCTTAAGCTGAAGAGCTGAGAGACAGTGCCCAGGGCCAGAGTTCAGGCCCCACAATCAATCAAAAAAAAAAAAAAGTCTAAACTTTAACCAAATTAGACTAAGTAGAGCTTGCTTTCTCTCTCTCTCTCTCTCTTTCTTTCTTTCTTTTTGTTGGTCATGGGGCTTAACTCCAGGCCTGGGCACTGTCCCTTAGCTCTTCAGCTCAAGGCTAGCACTCTACCACTGAGCCACACCGCCATTTCTAGTTTTCTGGTGGTTTACTGGAGATAAGAGTTTCCTGGACTTTCCTGCCTGGGCTGACTTTGAACCACAATCCTCAGATCTCAGCCTACTGAGTAGCTAGGATTACAGACATGACCCACTAGCGCCTGGCAAAGTAGTTTCTTAAAAGCATGTTCTCTTATACCTTTTAGCACTAGCCCCTACTACCTTTCTAAGACAGTAATGTATATAGTATTTTATTCAATAGGCATGCTTTGAGGGCATGTAAAAATATTAATAGCTAACAGTAACTAAAGTACGATGTGTCAAGCACAATGTTAGCTCCTTTATGTGTGTGTGTATATATATATATATATACATATATATATATATGTATGTATGTATGTATATCTATATGTGTATATATTTGTGTATGTGTGTGTGTGTGTGTGTATGTATGTGTATATACCAGTACTTGGGTTTGAAATGAGTGGGCCTCATGTTCTTGCTTAGCTTTTTTTTTTTTTTTAATTGTGAAAATACCGTACAGAGGGGTTACAATTACATGGGCAAGATAATTGAGTACATTTCTTATCAAGCATTGCTTAGCTTTTTTCCCAAGGATAAGTGTACCACTCAAGCCACAGCTCTAGTTTTGGATTTCCGGAGATAAGAGTCTCTCTGATTTGTCTGTATTCAAACCACAAGATCTGGGCTGAGAAGGTGGCTCAGTGGTAGAGCCCTTGCCTTGCATGCCTGAGGCCCTCGGTTCAATTTCTCACCACCACATAAGCAAAAAGAAAAAAGCCGGAAGTGGCGCTGTGGCTCAAGTGGTAGAGCACTAGCCTTGAACTGAAGAGCTGAAGGACAGTGCCGAGGCCCAAAGTTCAGGCCCTACAACGGGACCCAAAAAGAGAAACCAACCTCAAGATCTCAGCTTCCTAAGCATGTAGGATTACAGGTGTGAGCCACTGATGCCTGGCTGTCTGTCCTTCAAACAATAATGGGTTGGTAGGTTGGTGACAATTCCATAAATGAGGATTTATAGACTGGACGTTTATTTAAAGAATGGATTTTTAGCTGGGCTCCGGTGGCTCACGCCTGCAATCCTAGCTACTCAGGAGGCTGAGATCTGAGGATCATAGTTCAAAGCCAGCCCGGGCAGAAAAGTCCATGAGACTTTGATTTCTAATAAACCACTAGAAAACCGGAAGTGGCTCTATGGCTCAAGAGGTACAGCACTTACCTTGAGCTGAAGAGCACAGGCACAGTGCCCAGGCCCAGAGTTCAATCTCTACGACCGACATAAAAAAAAAAAAAAAAAAAAAAGAATGGATTTTTATTTAGTAGGCAATGAGTAGTAATTTGAGGAACAGGAATTAACCTGGTTAATCTAAGGAAGTGTTGCTTTAAGAGGATAAATTTAACAAGATACTCAGTGAATTGGAGGAAGACCTTAAAAGGAAGAAAGCAAGTTAAGACCACTTACCTGCCTAATAGCAGCTGTATAGCTTCGGTATCAGTTTTTGTGTCAGGATTCCAAACTGTATTCTCAGTCGGTGGGAGGAGGTGATCTTCTATGTGGTCTTTAAATTGATTGTTAGACAAGGCTTTGAGTCTAAGTTGTGGGAAAATACTTTCTTATTGACTGGCTAACAGATGGAACAAAATCTAAATCATAATAAATTGAGCTAAGAAAGATGACAAGGAGTTGGACTGACTCAAAAAATTAACACAGACTTTTGCATCATTTTCCTGCATAAGATTTGATTTTTGTAAGTTGGAGAGAAAATAGCTCCACTTTATATAAAAGTGTTCCTATTCTGAGAGAGCAAAGAATTTACTCATTTACATATTTAGCAAGTGCCAGGACTGGGATTAGATTTTGAGAATCTTAACTTCTACTTTTGCCTTCTTATTTAAAACCTTAAGAATCATTTACTGGACACCTTTGGGATTATCCTGTTCATAACTTGACAAAAACCATTTGTAAACAGCTATTAAGAAATCAATTGTTGAGGTTTGTGTCTACGCTGTAACTTACCTTGTAGATGATCTAAGAGAGTCTTCCTTCAGAGGAGGATGAACATTGTCTAACATCATGCTAGTGTCTGGGCTTGATTTCATTGCAGAAATCACCATGGCATTACGCAGTTTATTGCCTTGTTCTAACAGAGCTGAAGGCAGCAAAAGCAAAAAATGAAAACCCCTAAATCCAGAAGAAATACTCGCACTCTTTAGTGCATATTCTTCTATCACAGGACTTATCTAGAGCTATTTAATGGCTTTGTTGTCTACCTTCCCCTTAGCTGGAGAATTCCTTGAGGATATTCACTAAGTGTTTACTAAGCTTCTACTAGGTTAATAATATCACATCAACAAATAAAATTTCTCTTCTAAAAGACACTGACCTTGTGAGCTGTTCTATCCTCAGGTTTTCAACTGTTATAATACTTATATAAAAAGTTAGTAATGGGCTGGGAAGGTGGCTCAGTGGTAGAGTGCTTGCCTTGCATGCATGAGGCCCTTGGTTCGATTCCTCAGCCCCACATAAACCAGAAGGGGCACCGTGGCTCAAGTGGCAGAGGACTAGCCTTGAGCTGAAGAGCTGAGGGACAGCACCCAGGCCCAGAGTTCAGGCCCCATGACCGGCAAAAAAAAAAAAAAGATGTAAAAAAAAAAAGGTGTTAAAAAAGTTAGTAATGCCTACTGTTTGTTTTTATACCTAGATACCTTACTGAACTATCTGTCTATCTATCTCCCTTCCTCCCTCCTTCCCGCCCTCCCTCTAAAATTTATATCTTATAGTAAAGGTGATAAACATAGGTGTTACAGTTACATAAGGTAATCAGTACAATTCTTTTTAAAGAGTGTTACCTTCTTTCTACCTTATTTTCTTCCACTTTTCCCCTCTCCCCAAGTTGACTTTTTTCCCCCTTTTTTTGTCGGTTGTGGGGCTGGAACTCAGGACCTGAGCACTGTCCCTGAACCTCTTCAGCTCAAGGCTAGCATTCTATCACTTGAGCCACAGTGCCACTTCTGATTTCTGGTAGTTTATTGAGATTAGCGTCTCACAGACTTTCCTGCCCGGGCTGGCTTTGAACTGCGATCCTCAGTTCTCAACCTCCAGAGTTACTAGGATTACAGGTGTGGCCCACCGACTCCCTGCTAACTTACTGCTTTTGTATCACTCCCTAACATGAGATAATTATAATTCTGTTCTTGTTGTTTCTTATTTTAGGTTACACTTTTGTCTTCTTTCTACTACTATTTGGATACAACAGAATTTAATCCTTAGGCTTAAAATCAGAAGTTTGGTCACGTTCTATAGACTAGATGTTTTCAGAATGTGAAATAAATTTGGCACAACCCCCTATACAATGCATGAGTAAATAATTCTGGTAAGATAAAAACCTTATATGCTTTGAATTATTTGGAAACAAAAAAGACTAATTTTTCTCTATAATAAAAGCTTTATGGGGCTGGGAAGGTAGCTCAGTGCTGGATTGTTTGCCTTGCATGCATGAGGCTCTGGGTTCGATTCCTTAGCACCACAAGTGGTACTATGGCTCAAGTGGAAGAGCAGTAGCCTTGAGCTGAAGAGCTAAGGGGCAGTGCCCAGGCCCAAAGTTCAGGCCCCACATCGACCAAAAAAAAAAAAAAAAGCTTTAATCTCATTTTTAGGTTTAATAGGCCCCTTCCTCAAACCTACAATTATAAGAACCTAATTTAGAAGTTATGGATGGAAGTGTAGAAACTATGTAAAGGCATAGTATTTCTTTTCATTTATATTATGTGGATCTCAAAGCTTGGGAAGGGTATGGGAAGGGGGATGCAGCGGAACATATGGTTAGAAGATACAGGGGGTTACAACTGAATAGGAGGAAAAGTTACCTATGATTGACAACAATTAGTTAAACATTTCAGAATGGTTATAATGCCAATTTTGAACATTTCCAGCACAAAGAAATGAGAAATGTCTATAAATGCTAATTACCTTGATCTGATCATTACTCATTATACACTTGTAATGAAATGTCACATATATCCCATAAATAAATCAATTACTATATGTCAATTAAAAATACAACTGGTGGCTTAGATATAACTGGTGGTTTAAATAATGCTGGTTCTTGGCTTGAACTCAGTGAACTCAGGACCTGGGTGCTATCCCTAAGCTTCTTTTGCTTAGGGCTAGTGCTCTACCACTTGAGCCATAGCTCACTTCTGGTTTTTTGGTTTTTTTTTGTAGTTTATTGGAGATGAGAGTCTCTTAGACTTTCCTGCCTCGGCTGGCTTTAAACCATATTCCTTAGATCTTAGCCTTCTGAATAGCTAGGATTACAAGTATAAGCCACCAGCATCTAGCTATTAATTTTTTTTTATTTAAAGAAAGGACTTAGTAATCCGGGCGCTGGTGGCTCACACCTGTAATCCTAGCTACTCAGGAGGTTGCAATATGAGGATCACAGTTCAAAGCCAGCCTGGGCAGGAAAGTCTGTGAGACTCTTATCTCCAATAAACCACCAGAAAACCAGGAAGTAACACTGTGGCTCAAATGGTAGAGTGCTAGCCTTGAGCTGAAGAGCTGAGGGACAGCATCCAGGCCAAGTTCAAGCCCCACAACCGACAAAAAAAGAAAAAAAGAAAGGACTTAGTAGTTTCCTAGGGATGCCTGGACTTGAGTAAATCTTTCTTATTTGGCTTTTTAATTTGAAGATAAGCCTTGGTTTCCTTTGGAGGCTGGCTAACAAGTAGAACAATCCCAATAAATATAGCTTATTCTCAGTTCACAAGTCTATTTGTACCTGAAAGAAGGTCCTTGGTAGGAGGGTTGTTTGAAGGAAGAACACATGAGTCACTGTAACTCTTGGCAACTGTCCTAATTTGAGGCTGGAATTCAGAACTGTTGAGAAGGGACATACGTTTCCGTGGAGCTTTGCCTTTCAGAGTTACAGACTCTAAACTCTGCCCTGAATTTAGATGGTGCTGTAGTCCAAAGAAAGAATCCTTTCCTGTATTAGAGTTCTCTGGAAAGTACAAGTGGTCCTTCCCCCTGTTTTTTTTTTTTTGAAAAAGGAGAATGTCAGCTATAAATAATCCTTCATGGTAACATTCCACTTTGCCAGAGCTTAGAAAAAAAAAATCAGTGATAGTGATATAGCTTGGACTTTAAAAGAGGGAATTTGCTTATAACGCTACTTTATAAATTTGTTTTTCCTCTTCTAAACTAAAGAAATAATAGATGCTTTACCTATAGTTGTGGGTTTGGAGTTAATATGAAACAGTGAAATAAAGAGCTCAGCACTCCCCCACCTCCTCAACACACCCACAAGGGAGGAGGTCACCACAGAGCTGATACAAAGCAAATGTTTCACACAAAACAAAAATCTGTTGCTCTTATCCCTTCAGTTTCATACAGTAATGCCCTTTCTCTCTTTCTCATAGCATTCTCATCTCATTCTCATTTCATCTATCATAGCATTGGTAAACAATTTAGTCATATTTATTTCTGGTGATTTTTCTATAGACTGCGAATAGTCCTTCAAAATAGGAATCACGTAGAGAGTTTTTTTTTGGTTGGTTTTTTTTTTTTTTTTTTTTTGGCTGTTATTTTTGGTGCTGGGCATGCTGAACATGTGATTCACTGAAGGACTGAGTCTTGCAAATTTCCAACTAGTACCATTAGTGGTGCTTAGCAGTTATCTGTTAAATAAGGGATTTTTTTTTTTTTAGTTTTGCAGTCAAGTACAAATGAAAGACAAATCAAGAGTACAATGGGAGTTAGCTAACAGACTGGTATTAGGTATTGGTAATTAATTACCTTGGTGTAGTTGATCTACTACTGTTGGCTACTAATTCTTTCCCAGCAATTCTTATGTTTTTGGTATTTCCTCTGAATCCTTGCTCAGATAAAAGCACATTTTCTACCATGTCAGTAATAGGTAGAGGGCTGTAGCTGTCATAAGTTTCTGACAGAGGTTCCAGAGCAAGTGAGACCTGAAAGAGACATGTAATTTTCTTTAGGATTTCTTAGCTTGATACAAATTATTGTCCCACATTCTTTACAAGATTACTTCCAACTTCCTGCTTACTTCAAAAGCTTCATTTCTCACTATGTTCTAAATATTCCTTAATTCCTCTGTTCTAGATAAGCCAATAGCTTAGGGGGTATCTATAAGGTACCTTATATTTCAGTGCTTTATGCCTCTGTATATCAATTTACTCCAGCATTAATTCTTTATGTCCAGGTACAGATGTCACGTTCATTGCCTTCTTCATGATTCTACATATCTGCCCGTCAATAGATCCGCACACCCAGTATTTACTAGATACTTTACTACAAGCTACAAACTGTGCTAAGGTACTCATATGGAAAAGCTTTGGTGATGAAATAACCCTATCAGGAAAGTATATTACCATAAGTTGAAGGTTTTTTTTTTTTTTCCCCAGAGGATGAGAAAAGCATTTGTACTCTGTGTGTGTGTGTGTGTGTGTGTGTGCGTGTGTGTGTGCGCGCGCGTGCGTGCACGCCAGTCCTGGGGTGAATTTGGGGCTGGGGTACTTTTTGGCTCAAAGTTAGCACTCTATCACTTTGAGCCACAGCCCTCCTCTCCCCTGCCTTTTCAAAAAAATATTAACTTGAGATAAGGATCTCTCAAACTCTCTTGCCTAGACTGGCTTTAGACTTCAATCCTTAGATATCAGCCACCTGAGTAGCTGGGATTACAGGTGTGAGCCCTGGCACTCAGCTATTTGGACTTTTAAACTTATTTATCATGCTGATTAGATTATGAACTCGGGCTGGGAAGGTGGCTCAGTGGTAGAGCGCTTGCCTTGCATGCATGAGGCCCTGGGTTCAATTCCTCAGCACCACATACGCAGAAAAAAGCTGGAAGTGGCGCTGTGGCTCATGTGGTAGAGCGCTAGCCTTGAGCTGAAGAGCTGAGGGACAGCACCCAGGCCCAGAGTTCAGGCCTCATGACCGGACTCCCCCCCCCCAAAAAAAAAAGAATGCCATGTGCAATGAGGTGATCACTGTAATAATATCACCTAAAATCCTTGCTACCCAAATGTGTAAGTGTCCCTTAACATTTATCATTTGTTATCATGTTCTAGAAATAGAGGAGGTCCTAGGAATAATAAAGGCTGTGTTCCTGGCCTTAATAGTGATCTGATGACTGGCCACTAACTTTTGCTTTTGTCTTAAGCAGATCTCAACCAGTAAGAAAACAACTCATATAAGCCTGTTCTACCATTAGCTAGTGAAGAAAGAGTCACAATAATTCTGCCCCTTTTTTCATTTATCTTTCAGTGAAACTTGGGAGCTGGCCTAACTCCTCTACCTAGTTACACAGCTACTACTAGCTCTGTTACCAGCCTGAGCAAAAAGGTGACTAAAACATGGATCCTGACCAGAAAGGATTGCATCATGTAGTAGGTGAACTTAAAAAAATAATTTTAATGTAAGTGTACTAGGTGCTGTGGGTACAGTAAAGAGAGGCCCAAACTTGGGGGAACAAGGGAGGAATAGTGTCAGGATGGTTTCCAAGAAAAGAATACTAACAACTAGGCTAAGAATCTTAACTATGCATAGCCAGCTGACAGAGCTGAGGCAAACTCTAGTCAGAGGGAATTCTTATCCATTGGACATCTATGCCTAAGCCTTCTGCTTCTCACACTGTACCCAATTATTCCTGCAATCATCTCCTAGAACTTCACTCTTGTCAACTTTAGCCATGCTTCCCTAGTCCACAGTTACTCTGTGTTGATTCTCTCCTAGGTACTCATTCATTCTGAGCATGTGGTCTACTACTGAACTGTACCCCTCAACCAGACTTTCTATGTTATACAAAGTATCTGACCACTGTACTGATCCATAAAATGGCCTCATTTTCCCCAAGTCTTCTCCAGTGGCAACAATTTTCATTTCCCAGTAAAAGAGAAGCTGTCTTTCTCTTTCTCAGTGCTATTTTCAGATGAACCCTCCATCATCTAAATACAGCAACATTTTCTGAAACCCACACCATCCCCATATACCATATGCTTTCCCATCCATAACAGAGCAACCCTTAAGGATGCTCATCTGCCTTCTTAGCAGTGACTCAAGGCTCTTTTTAATATTAAATTGCCTATGATTACCCACTATATCTGTAACATCTATTAGTATCAGAGACAGTAAATTAATAGTCAACTATTTACTGCATGCTGGTCCACACAGCATGTAAGAAAATATTTTAAAAATATTTAAAAAGCTGGGTGTGGTGGCTCATGCCTGTAATCCTAGCTACTCAGGAGGCTGAGATCTGAGGATCATGTTTCAAAGCCAGCCCAGGCAGAAAAGTCTGTGAGACTCTGATCTCCAATAAACCATTCAGTTTGCCTTAAGCTGAAGAGTGCAGGGACAGCACCCAGGATCAGAGTTCAGGCCCCATGACCAACAACAACAACAACAACAACATCAACAACAACAACTATATACATGTTTTTAAAAGTCACATATCTTATAAAAATCTGGATCTTTGGCTTCTCTTTAAAAAACAAGCAAACAAACAGTTCTAACAATGCTGGGTCCCCATTCTCATGTAGCAAAAATTAGCTGCAGTAGACTTACAATGTTAGTCAGGCTATGTACTCCAGTCATGAAGTACATCCCAATGTGAGACAGTGATAACTTCTGTTTACCATTACATCTATGGCTATTTTTCAAAAAAAATTTTTGTTACAATAAAATCAATCTATGAGTTTTTACATTTGAATAGACACATGTAACCACCAAACAATAAAGATATAGAACAACTAAGCAATGGCTCATGCCTGTAATCCTAGCTCTTCAGGAAGTTCAGACTGGAGGATCTCAGTTCAAAGCCAGTCCAGGTAGAAAAGTCTGTGAGATTCCATCTCAATTAACCAGTAAAATGCCAGACTGAAATTACAAAGATCTGGTACTGGAATACACACACACACACACACACACACACACACACACACAAAGATCCATCACCTTAAATAACACCCTTATACAGATATTTTACACACACACACACACACACACACACAAACACACACACACACAAGATCCATCACCTTAAATAATACCCTTATACAGATATTTTGTAGTCATGCCCGTCTTACCTCTAACCCCTACAAACCACAGTGAGACACTGGGAACAGTGTCCTAGTATGTGTTTGCTGACAGGGCTGAGAGCCCAGAGTCCAGAATAACAAAACTTCATAGTCTCTTCATCACACAGGAAGTGAATTGCTGGAAGGGGGCTAGATGTATTAAGACCAATAAGCCAGAGTGATTAGGTCCCTCTGTTTATCTCTAGCAAGAACAGAGCTCAGTGCTGTGTTTGCTTCCCTCATTCTCTGATGCACCTGGCAGTTATGTGAAGGCCTAGACATTTGTTGCCCCTAGGGGCACAAATTGAGTGGGTGGGGGCACATGGATCAAGTGGGCACCTGACCAGACTACAGGGAGAAAGCTCTCTACAGCCAACAGCATCTCTCAGTACACAAAGAAGGAACATTTCTACAGTTGAAAGCATCTCAGAAGCAGACAAGTGACCTTTCTACAAAACACTCCAGCTAGTTTACCTTAACACTACTTAATTTGAGTAGTGTTGGGGATTAGGCCCAGTGATCTGAGCATTTGGGTGAATGCTTGGCTATTGATCTGTATTCCCTAGCTTAGAGGGAGAAGTAACACTACAACCTGGCTGCTACACTATCTTGCCTGAACATTGAGACTATTTCAATCAAAAGACTACAAGTGATTAAAACTTCTAATCAATGGACTGGGAATGTGGCTTAGTAGTAGAGTGCTTATCTAGCATGCATAAGCCCTGGGTTTGATTCCTCAGTACCACATACACAGAAAAAACTGCAAGTGGCACTGTGGCTCAAGTGGTAGAGCATGAGCCTTGAGCAAAAGAAGCTCAGGGACAGTGCCTAGGCCCTGAGTTCAAGCCCCAGACTGGCAAAAACAACAACAACGAAAAACAAAACCTTCTAATCTATGACCTGATTATAGATGTATAAACCCTAATATGAAAATATGACAACAACAAGGTAACATGTCCCCTACAAAAGTCATTAATTCTACTATAAAGAACTTGAACAAGCCGGGCGCTGGTGGCTCACGCCTGTAATCCTAGCTACTCAGGAGGCTGAGATCTGAGGATCGCGGTTCAAAGCCAGCCCGGGCAGGAGAGACCCTGAGACTCCTATCTCCAATAAACCACCAGAAAACCGGAAGTGGCGCTGTAGCTCAAGTGGTAGAGCGCTCGCCTTGAGCTGAAGAGCTGAGGGACAGCGCCCAGGCCCAGAGTTCAAGCCCCACGACCGACAAAAAAAAAAAAAAAAGAACTTGAACAGGGTTGAGAAGGTGGCTCAGGGGTAGAGTGCTTACCTTGCAAGCATGAGGCCCTGCATGAGGCCCTGGGTTCTATTCCTAAGCACCACATAAGCAGAAAAGCTGGAAGTGGTGCTGTGGCTCAAGTGGTAGAGCACTTGCCTTGAGCTGAAGAGCTCAGGGATAGCACCCAGGTCCAGAGTTCAAGCCCCACAATGGATAAAAAAAAAAAAACTTGGGCTGGGAAGGTGGTTCAGTGGTAGAGTGCTTGCCTGGCATGCATGAGGCCCGTTCAATTCCTTAGCACCACATAAACAGAAAAGGCCAGATGTGGCTCAAGTGGTAGCACGCTAGCCTTGACCTGAAGAGCTGACAGATAGCACCCAGCCCAGAGTTCGAGCCCCATGACTGACAAAAAGAAAAGTGCTATCAATGAAATAAAAAAGAATGTATGCAAGCATATGAGTGAATGAATTAAAGAATCAAACTAACAGCTATACAAACACAAAGAAAAAAACAGTTGAATGAAGACAAGCCAGGATATGAAAGAATTCAATAGACAGAAATCCTGAAAAAAATCAAATTGAAATTCCATAAATAAAAAGTTTAAAACACAAATTTAAAAACAATTAAACATCTTACTAATGGAATGGAATGAACTGAAAATACAGTATCAGGCTGGTTGCTGGCAGCTTATACCTGCAATCCTAACTACTCAGGCTATTTCCATTCAAGTTTTATTACACATATAGTAAAGAATTGAAATATTTTTACCTGAAGGTCTCCAAGTTTCTTAGATGTTGGTGAAATGATGGTAAACAATCCATTGATCTGATGGGTTGGAGAAAGCTGAGCTAGGCCACTGATTTGAACTCTACCAATTGGAAGATGATCAGATTTGGTGATTACATCCAGCACCAACACAGCCATATCTAATCAGAAACAATTATAACATAGTCATATATATATATACACATATATATATACACACACACACACACACTTTTTTTTTTTTTAGGTAGACAGAGTTGTATACAATGAAATGCTTTTTTTTGGGGGGGAGAGTCCGGTCGTGGGGCCTGAACTCTGGGCCTGGGCACTGTCCCTCAGCTCTTCAGCTCCAGGCTAGCGCTCTACCGCTTGAGCCACAGTGCCACTTTTTCTTTTTGCTTATGTGGTGCTGAGGAATTGAACCCAGGGCCTCATGTATGCAAGTCAAGCACTCTACCACTGAGCCACCTTCCCAGCCCCCACTTTTTTTTTTTAACTTAAAACATTCATTTCCAATAAACTAGGCATGCACTTACCACACTATTTTGGGGTGGGGAGAGAAAGGGAGTATGAGACCAAGATCAAAAGAACAATAGTTTTAGAGAAGAATGACAAGTAACTTGCACTAAAGAAAAAAGAGTACTGCTAAATATACATTTCAAGAATTGAGGCTTTGGTTTTGAAATACAATAACATATCTTAGTTCATTTATTATTATTCTAGCTTGAATTAGAGAAAGGGCTGCTCCTGCATAGCTCTAAACATCCTACTTTTTTTGTTTGTTATTTTGCCTACTCCTGGAAAGCATAATCTATGAAATGGGATCTAAGATCATTTTAAGACATGTAACTTGTAGATTTTTTTTCTTGCCAAAGTTGAGAAAACATTTCAATGTTACCATGCAGGACATATAATGAGAAGATCTGTGGTTGTGTATTGGCTCCAATAGTAATAAGCTCTTTTTGAGTAACATAGGCATCAGATACCTCGCATCACTGCTGTGTGAGGAATTAGGGTACATGTAGATCACATAGTAGAGTGTCCTCTCACAGAGTGTTGTAGAATGACTGTTACATGACTTCAGGCAAATTACTTAACATACCATTGCCTCTTTGTTACCTACTCAGACAGGTTTTCTTAAAAAAAAAATCAAATGAATTAGCAGGTGCAAAGGAGCTTTGTAGACTATAAAATGACATTTACATGGGGAGTTAAGGGAAATAGATCAACATTTGCTGCCTATTTACTATTAGACAGGTTCTTCCATTTTCCATTAACTCTCTTTACAAACCTGTAAGGGATTATTAAGTACAGTTGGAGATAAAACAAGGTTGGAGAGTCATGTAACATATCTAAGTTCACTGAGCTTTAAAATGCTAGAATTGGGATTCAGTTTTACCCAATTATAAAGTGTACACTACTCTACTTCATTATTCACCATTCATTGTTTCCAGGAGAAAATGCTTAATGTCTAACAACTTCTGACCTTTACCCTTCACTTTTGTTGTGGTAGAATTATTCCCAGGAAACTAGAGCTCTAAGATCTTAGAAACCTTCCAGTATCAAACAGCAATCTGATTCTAAAAACAGAGTTCAACCTCTAGATGGTATATGTATAAATCTGTATGTTTCCTATTCAAGCAGGTTGCAACCTCATGAAAATACCTCGAATGTGAAAGAGTAGCTATTTGATCTCATTTTACAGACGAAGAAAGGGGATCACAAAATCCTGTCGTTGGTAACATCAACCTAAATGTTCACATGCCAATTACCCTATGGGGTGCTCAAATAAAGGTATGCCAGTTGGGTTTTACATTAAAAGATACCTTTTTTTAAATGAATATCAAATCTCTTATTTGATAAATTATATAAAAATACCATGTAAGGATTTAAGTTTGGGGTTCGTAATACAAAAAGTATGAATCTTCTTACATAAGCTTACCATAATAACTAAATTTATTTGTGAAATTATAATTGATAGAATTTCGATTTCTACTTGATTCTCTCTCTTTTGATGATACTTGGATTTGAACTTGGGGCCTTATGCTTGCTAGGCAGATTTCTCCCACCTAAGCCATGCCCTTCAGCCCTTTTTTGCCTTCCTAGGTACATAGTAACATCTGTTACTGACAACCATAAACATATGCTTTATGTCTACATATTTGTCTAGAGCTAAAATGATAAAACAAAAACATACCTGTTAGATAAGAAGTAAACTGTTTTGGACCACAGCGAATAGCATAACGTGTTGTTGTTCTCACAGCTTTTGGTTCAGTCTGCAATGCATCCCTGGGACAAAAGAGGGTTCCATCTGATGTTTCTCCCCACCATCTCACTCGGACAAGTACACAAGTGGGAGGCTTTGCAATCTTCCATATAACTTTATTAATAGTAAGTCTCAGAAAGCAGCGCAGCTGGCCTTCCACTAGAGGCGGTAGGCTTGTAGATGGTGAAATGTCACTCAAACCTATGGGAGAATCCAAGAACACAGAGTAATAATCTAGACTAAATATAAAAAACATAATTTGTCTTTTGAATAAAAACAAACATTTTAGTCTCTACAGAAAGCAAGCTTAACCTACCTATACTAGTATGTGAGAAGTAACTAGTAAATGAGACCACACAGTAACCTTATAGTTCAAAAGTTTTCTGTTAATTATTACTGTCAATCTAATATTCATTAACTTTGATACTTATTAAATTTCAAGATGACAAATCAAAATGTAATAAGGCAGTTAGTCATGACCCTTGCTGTCTTCTTTCCAATCAATATCTTTTCTGGAAACTATCTTTGAATGTTTAAAAACAAATACTACCTTTGATCTCTATAATAGAGAAAAGACCCATTATAAACTTCATGGATAATTTCAATATAAAAATTATATGCATGTGTGTACATGAGTATTCCTGCATATACACATGCTGTAACAAGGACAATCTTTTCTATAGTACTGTTACATTATTTCTACTTTGACATTCCTCCTATCAACATTTTGACAAAGTGAACACCAGCAGTGGACACTCTTGCTTCTCAGAACCTCCTGGTATTAGGAAAGGCACTGCTTGAAAACTGTTTTAGTAAGTGAGACAACTCAGACAAGATTTATTCCCAGTTTATATATGCGAAGCTGTGGCCTATTATACAATCCTTGCTCCCAAGACCTCTATTCTCACTAAAGTGACTATAATGTAAAAATGCAGGGCCACCCGTTGGTTTTCTCTGTCACCATCCTGGGGGGCAGTTTTGTACTGATTTAATTTCCAATTTGGTGATTCTTACTGCAACTAACATTCTCCATTTCTTTGGCCAGCTTATTTTTCCTACACACTCACCATCTAAAGTCCCATAGGAAACCTTCATGCCTGTATCCCTTCTTCAAATCCTTCCACACCCTATCACTTCACCCTTTTTAATCTACTCTTTTACCATCACCCTCCCCAATTTCTGCTCATAGTCTTCCACGTTTCATGATTAGAACCGCTCCCTTCACTCAACTGACATTTACCAAATCCAGTTTTGTTACAGTCCCGAGGGATCTAGTATTATATAAAACGTGATTGTTGCATGTTAGTCACCTTTACACTCCCCTCTCCAACTTACGTTTCATCCAGCCCCTGTGGACTTCCAATACCACACATGCACGCACACTCAGACATTTACTTTTGTTACCCCAAACACTCCTGTACTTGGTGTCCTATCCGTACCCTTTAGCCTTCGCCCATTCGCATTTATCACCTATTTTCTTTTAACCTCCCACCCCAGACGCTATTTCCTTTCTATTCTTTTCAAGGTCTGGTTCGCTGGTTAGACTCGCTTCCCTCCTTTTCTTTTTCTTTCCTAAAACTCGGTGGGGGTCTGTCTCCCTAATTACTCCCTAACAGGCATGCTCTATTATACTTTCCTCAACTTCTGATGGTTGTTTACCTCTCTTCTTGCGCCCATGGCTGCCCCCAGACCCAGGACCTTTTCGCTGTTTCATGACGAGCTGGGGCTCTTCTTCACTAGCTCAACTCGGGTCCCAGCACCTAAACCGTACCCTCCCTCCATCGCTCCCCAAGGCGCCGGTGTTCCCCAGCAACCGGAGGCGCTAAGCAGCCTGGGACACAGGAAGACGCGGCTCTTCCGCTAACAGTCTCCGGAAAAGGAAAGGGAAGGCGCCAAAAGCCTCCTGCCAATAGACTGCAACACCCAGGATGCCTTGCTACCCTACCTCCGCGGGGTTGGCCCAAGGCATCTACGGTTGCGCAGGCGCAACGGGGTATTCCAACCGAAGACTCCATTGCCCAGTGTGCATTGCCTCATGGAGAGCTCCTTCTTCCGGCTAGGGTCCCGGAGTTCTCCACTAGGCCTCAGAGGGGGGTCCGGAGACTTCGTTACCCAGTTTCCTTTGTGCGAGAGCTGTTGCGCACTTCCGGTGGAAGCGCCGAGTCGAGGGGGTGGAGTTCGGAGCCGCCGGTGGGCGGTAGGCGTTGTTGCCAGTAAGCTGGGTGCTGTCCACAGGCGACCCGGCGTCGTTTGGGGAGTGAGCTGTGATCGCTTGGGCCGCACTCAGCCTGGGACGAAGCTCCGACAGTTCTGTGGTGGACTGGTTTGTCTTCCCCTTCATGTCGGCCCTAGAGAAGAGCATGCACCTCGGCCACCTGCCCTCTCGCCCTCCTCTACCTGGCAGCGGGGGCGGTCAGAGTGGAGCCAAGATGCGAATGGGGTACGTGACTCGTGCCCCTTCCCCCTAGAGGCCCGGCCTCGGCCATTGGAGAAGGAGAGGCACGAAAAGGGAGGCTGAGAATTGGAGGAGATGTTGGCGGCGGCCTGGAGATGTTTAGATGAAGTAAAAGGCAGGTTTGGGTACTAGGGGAGGCGCCAAGGCAATAGAAATGGGAGGACAGATCTCGTTGAAGGGAGAAGGGTATATGGGAAAGATTGGAGAGGCCGAGAAGATAATTTAAGGGACGGGGGGAGGAAACCCTAGGAGAAGGGATGGGAGAGGTAGAAGAAAGAGCAGAACAGTGCTGAGGTCGGGAGGGGAAGGGCGGGGGGGGAGGGAGAAGGGAGAGCGGGAGGGGATCTGCCGTGGAGCGATGAGGAAAATGGGGAATGACTGAGGGAAAAGTTGAAGGGAAAGATGGACCAAGAGTAAGAGGACTGTGAGAACTAGATATCAGAAATGGAGAACATCTAAGGAAGAATTGGAGAAGGTTCTAGAGAGAGTTCCCAGATTCAGGGAGTGGGGGTGGGAGGGTGACTAGGAGGTTAGATCTCTAAGGGAGAACCCAGGAAGCGTGGGGAATAAGCCTAAGGAAAAGCAGAGAACATATCCCGGAAGACTGTTTTTTAAGTGTGTAGTCAAGATGTGCTGAGAAGCTGGGGGGTGGGTAGAGGGGCCGTGAAATGACCCCGAGGACCAAGTTCAGAGAGTGACCGTGGGCTCTAGAAATTGAGAAATGACTAGGAATAGTGTTTCGTGACTAAAAGCCCTGAAGAGGTAAGGTCTGAGAACCTTGAAGAGGAAGATTTGAGCAATTGCTTTTTACTAGTCCAATAGGGCTGGGGAAAGCTATGTCTAAGACTGATCTGTTTCCATGTTTAACCTGAGTCTCCCAGAAGCATCTCCCAGTAGCCGTTTACAATAAAAGTTTGGAGGAAAGCCTTTGGAAAGGGAAGAGAGCTGTGTTAAAGAGATAAGCTTTGGAAATTTAGGTCATTGAATAGCATGTGCCAGGTTAGGGGATAGTTGGGTATTGAACATGGGAATGATAGGTGCTGAAAGGCAAAGAGAATTAAATAGGCCACGAGGGATTCGGTGGATATTTGTAGTAGTAATTCAGGGATTGCTGATTGTAAAGAGAAAAGGTATATGTACTGTATTGCTATTCAAGAGATAGGTTGCTAGATATTCTTGGGTAAAGAACTGGAAGAGAGGTACCTAACATGCTGAAGAAATACAAGCAAAATAATAATAATAACAATGATACTTGGGGCTGGAAAGGTGGTTCAGTGGTAGAGTGTTTGCCTTGCATGCATGAGGCCCTGGGTTCCATTCCTGAGTACCACATAAGCAGAAAAAAAACGGAAGTGGTACTGTGGCTCAAGTGGTGGAATGCTAACCTGGAACTGAAGAGCTGAGGGGCAGTGCCCAGGCCCAGAGTTAAGGCCCATGACTGACCAAAAAAAAAAAAAAGATAAGGATGATATGATACTGTGTAAATTGATTTTAGGAATGAAGAGTAAAGAGAATCCTGTAGAATAAAATAGAAGGCTTGAAGGGTAGCAATAGTGGTTGGAAAACCCAGAAACTAAGATTCCCAGTTGGATTTTTTTTTCCTATGCTACATAGAAAACTACGACAGGGGAAGGTAGGCCTTTCTTACAAGGCTATACATAAGGTAAAATAAAAATTGTTTTAGTTTTGAAAGGCAGAAAAGTTGGACTACATTATGAATAATAAGCTTGCATATTGACCCTTAACAGGTTATTTGAAAAAATTAATATAGATCATAATATTAATATAAAATAGAAACTAGAGGTGTGGCTCAAGTGGTAGAGTGCCATGGTCAAAAAAGTGGAGCAGGAGCAAGAGGCTCTGAGTTCAAGCCCCAGAACTGGTATGTGCATGCATATACACACACCCCATAAAATAATTAGATTTGATTTAGTTCCTTTTTTTGGTGTTAATGGGATTAGAACTTGCACTTGTCAGATGAGCATTTTACTACTTGAGCCATATCTCCAACCTAGTTTTTTAAAAATATGTATCATAGTTGTTGCCCTTTTTTTGGAAGGGGGAAGAGTGGGAGAGGGTCTTCCTATGTAGCACAAGCTAGCCTGAAACTCAAGATCCTGCTTCAGTTTTCTGAGTGCTGAGCTTATAGGCATGTGCCATCATGCCCAGATTAGTTATTACCTTTATTCAACTAAAATTTGACTCTTCACTACAATATTTTTGTAGTTATATAAAAATAGTACCTTTTTAATATTTATACATGCTTCAGATAAGTTTGGGTAGAGTTCAGCTTCTTACTTAGTTAAAGCAAGTTCTCTAAAGATGAAGGGGGTAGAGAAGGGGAATGCCAAGAGAAAATAAAGGGAAAATCTAATAAGGCTGCATGATTGTTAGTAAACATTCTTCAAGTAAATGTGTTGTTCTTTTTTTATTTACGTTAGCTGCTTATTCTAAAAAAGAAGATTCTTTAGAAATATCCTGTTTTAATCATAGAATTATATAGAGAAAACAGATACTGGTCAATTTTATGTGGTCCTTAAGTGGCTTGTTTTCCTGTACTTTTTCTACTTATTGGTACATAAATAGTCCTTATGTAACTCTATATATGCTCATGGTAATATAGACTCCTTGGCCACCAAATCATAAAGCTAAAAGAGAACATATGAATGATCTCATTTCATCTCTACATCACATTAGTTGAAGGACCTGAGACTCAGAAGCAGGGGAAATATTTTGTCTTAATAAATGTGGAAACCAAGACTCAAATAACCTTGGCATTAATGTAGAAGCTTTGTGGTTGGACGCTAAGGATTAGGACTTAAGTCTCTGAGACTTTTTTTTTTTTTTTTGCCAGTCCTGGGGCTTGAACTCAGGGC